TGGAGCATATACACCTCAGAAATAAACTTGGATATTTGCACATTTATAAAAGTGGTATAGCACATAAGAAAATAACAACTAATTAAAGAAAAATATAAACTAAATTAAAACAAATATCAAATTATATACATGCTAAACTAGAAAGTCCAAAGATGTACAATTTATTATACATATATACCAGGCTTCAGAATCTGGGCATGGTGTGCATACGCATCTATCATTTTATTTTAGGTCTAAACATATGCAAGTGATATCTTCTTTTACTGAAAGCAAACCAATAAATACTTATTGAATGGTTAAAGTAGCTCAACATGTCTCTTCCCAACATGTGTAAAATAATTTACAATTAAATTGTAATTTTTGAAGAAAAACACCTGGACTTTCTTGTTGATCCATGTAAACAACATTTTTTTGAGTACAGCATAGGCTAATTTCTAGAATGGGTCATATTATCTATCAAAAAGCATTACATAGGGTAAAGAAAATATAATTCAAAACAAAATGTGATGAAGAATGATGTCACAACGAATAGAAAATTTGAGACTGTGATAAATATAGGAGTCAGTAATATTTACTCTGTGATCAATACATTTTGGATCTCAACATAAATCCTTTAGTGAGATAAGTTTACGTGAAAATTGATTTTGTGGCATATATATATAATACACATGTAATAATTAGGATCCCTATTTTTGCCAATGGAAGAAAGAAAATCTCACATCATGTGACTTGCCAGAGACATACAATTAGAAAACAAGTTGGGATTTGGTTTTTAGAATTTACACTCATAGTATAATATAATAATGTCTAGAATTAGGAGCATCAGTGATCCAACATTGTTTAAATTTAATATTAAAATTTGTCACACCTAAACAGCCAGATAAATGTGAAATACTGGAACTCAGAGTACTGGGAGCTTGCCTCAGCTCTGAGTAAATTAGCTGGGCTTTAGCAGAGAACTCACTTACCTTTTGCAAACCACAATCTGCCTATTTGGATTGGGGTAATGCACTAAAAAACCTCTTCTTAAATATTTGAAAATACCAGCTGAACTATAGGGTTTTATTTTTAGTCTGTATCTATTTGGTAACATGCTTCGTTACCAAACCCTAGCACACAAAGATATGCACAGACACGAGGATGAAGTTAAAAGTCACCCATGGTGTTAAATTGGACTTGAAATTTTTGCTTGCTCAGAAGATGACAACTTGATGACTCAAGTCTGTGCCTGAGAAGACTAAAATATAAACTTAAGTTAGAGTTGGGATTTTGGATTTGAGCCAACCCAGGTGCAAAGCTTAAAGAGTAGTGTGCTATGATACATTTGTAAGAAAAATTTCTATAGTGTTCTAACTCCATGAAAAAAATACTTCTAAATAAATAAAGCTAATTTTTTATAAACATGTTTTAAGGAAAACTTAAATTTCCTAGATAACTCATGATATCTGTAATACTAAACAATACTAAATATTAAAATGACACTAAGTTTTAGTAATTCATCAAAAACCACATCATATAAACAAATCTGAAATCTTTTACAGTCTGCAGTTTGAGGAGGGAAAGCAAAAACTTTTCTACTAATGGCTCAGAAGCAATTTATTCCCTAAGAAGATATTCTATACATTCTTAGAAAGTTGAAAGAAACAGTATTTATGTAATGAATAGAAGTTATAGCAATTTCATTTATGAAATATACTTTACTTTGCTTATTGTTTGATTCCCATCTATTAATCCCTCTTTCAGAGATCTTAACCAAATATATATTTGTACATTTTAGCTGCATTCCTAGTAGACATCAGTTTTAACATTAACAAATGATGATAATACCCTTACTTTCAACAGAGAAGTCAAATGGAACAAATTTGTTTAATATATTCAGCTGGGTCTGTTCTTTCTGATTCATGTGGAGAAACAGCTTTGACCACCCACTCAGAGAACTGCTTGAGGTTCAACATACAGGCTGCAAACGTCACTGCCCACCACAGACTGTGGAGCAGAAAGCCTGTTTCCTGTTACTTGCCACCTGGCAATGCGCACCCCATGTGTGCACTTCCAGGTGGCAGAATAGTCTAGATCCTGGATTTCCAGATCCAGAATGTGCAGGATTGTCCTCTTACTGCTGCAACACTGGAGCTGTCCATCATCTCAGAAACCCAAATCTGTAGACTAAAAACAAAGGACCAAGTTGCTTCTACGTCTTAATCGAATATTGTGAGGTCAATCTGCTCCAACTCATTTAGGGGATGGGCAAGATCGAACTGAGCAAGTTTCACATAACAATAACACCTGCTACTGCTCATTTCATCATCTCTCTTTATTCTCTTGTACTCTCATACACAAAAGAGTCTGTGTTTTTTTCCTTTAGTTCTACCAATAACTATTTTTCTCCTGTTCTTAGTTAAGTCCATTAATTACATCATCCTTAATTGTTATTTTCTCTTTTTTTTTAAGGTAAAAACTGAGGACATTAAACTATATTGATATATTTGGCTGACTTTCATCCAGAAAAAAATGTAAAGCTAATCTCCTACCCTAAAATATTCACCTAATAAAAATAAATTTCATTTAGATTAAACACCTAAATATATATACATATTTAAAAATGGATATTATTATTAAATTATAACTGAGGAATGTAATCATATTTGGAGGATGTGGAATTAGAGGTAATATCAATTAACCCTTAAAATGTAAACTCTAAGAAACAAATTAAATATATTAGCTTGCATTAAAATAAAAACATCTATAGGATACTTTATATCATAAAGCAAACTAAATCATTAATATGGTTGTTAGAAAGTGACAATTTGAAACAATGTTGCAAAGAGCATGAGTTGTCCCACAATTTTTACTTAGAAAATTTGACTAAAAAATATTTGGTAAAACATGAATTACTTCATTTGACAATCCAGATCTTAAATCTATTTGTCATTATTATCTGCCCCTAGTGTTATTTTACACAAACACACACAGAGAGAAATACCATTGGCATATTTCACATATCTAATAAAAGAGTAATTCAGTGCTTCTTTTGGAACCAGAAAATGAATAACCAAAATGATCCTACGCAAAAAGAAAAAAGCTGGAGGCATCACATTACTCGACTTCAAACCATACTACAAGCTTATAGTACCCTAAAGGGCATGGTTTTGACACTAAAATAGAGATGCAGACCAACAGAACAGAACACCCAGCTATAAAACCATCTCCTTACAATCAGCTGATGTTTGATAAAGCAG